TAACTACGTTATAACAATCTGACTACTACGCAACATGGAGTTCTATTTGCGAGTAATGCGTATTCAAATATAAATTAGGATGTGAGTCTCTGAAGGGCGAATCCAATTGTGATTGTAAATTTATTTACTATATGGACGCAAATATTATGAAAGTCACGTAATAGAACAAGTGACCTTGTTTATGTGCCCCCACATACGTGTAAGTGGCATTTTGCCTTAGGGCAAGTTGCATAAACTTTTCTGTATGTGAATAGTATTGAGAAGGCATGGGGGAAATGCCGTATGGTATATATGGTCAAAATAACACAGTGGCCTTAGTTGAAAATGAGCTAGTTTTAGTAACGTTTTTGCGACTATATAACATAAAGAAAGCCAAAACCACAATCCTGTCAGATGTTGAGCGTCATTGTCACTGTCTTGTCGTAGTAATCAGTTTAGACGTGTTTCGCCTTGTATATTTTGAGAGTGTTTTTTTCGTGCTTTTATGTAATCTATTTATTAATATTCTTAATTATTGCATTTAAAATCTATAAAGTTATGCAAGTACAGTAATGATTGCGATCAGTTTGATTGAAATAATCAGGTGTTCGGGAAAATTTTAATTAACTATTCGATAAAAAGATATACTTATATAATAGTCAAAATGACATAGTACTATTTCGCAAGCATTACAATAATATAACTATAAATCGTGCAATAATTATGACGTAAATAAAACTACTTCATCGAAAAGTCGAAACGTATAGATTTTGTATTATCAGATTTATTATATTTTTTTTTGACTTATTTTATTAACATTTTTTATGTATAAAATATTTATTTATCACTTTTCCTGAAATTTTTCTCTAGTTTTATATTACCATATCGTTTATTTCTGATGCTTGAAGAATGATAAATACAATAGTATTTATATCGACCACTAGTTCTGGTTCATATAAATTATCCAACATTGTAGAAAAGTTTTATTAGCCTATAAAATAAAATCTAGTCAATGTTTCACTTAAATTTATGTACAGTGTTCAGAAATTGTACGAAGTTATAAAATTTTCTATACGGATATTATACTAGATGCTATAGATTTGCGTTTGTTTATTACGTTATTAGAAATGATAAAATATATACAATATTATTTACAAAATTACTGGAATTTATCATATTACTGTTGAAACTTTCGAGATCGTTTTATTTCCGATAGGTATCGGATAAATTTAAAATAATATAATTTAAAATTATTGTTTTAATTAGCGTAAGATAGAATCGGAAATTTTTGACTCTATATATAAGATCCAAATTTGAGAACTGTCATTATTTTAGTAATTTTCCATCTACATTCGATGAAAATTGAACAATTTTTGCTATACTGGAATACCTATATAAAAAATGTAAGAAAGAAAAATAGTAAATCTCACACATGCCATATGACTTTGAGGAAAAATTTTTTAAAATAAGATAAACTTTTCAAATATTTTTAAATTTCAGCCATCTGTGTAGAGAAAAATCTGATAAATTTGTAAAATATTTACAATTTTCTGAAAATTGGTTAAACATCCAAAAGTATAAAATTTTTAACCTTCACAAAATTGTTCAAAATTAGCAAAACTCTACAAACAATTTCAAATTTATGCAATGTGCCTAAAGGTAAAAGCTTGGGCTTAAAACAAAAATCTGAAACGTCTGTATAATATTTATAAGTTTCGAAATTTTCAAAAATGAATCATTTTAATTGACAAAGAGTATCAAACTTCTAAATTTTTCTAAAACTTTTTCAATTATATTCAAAATTAGTAAAACTTTGCTAAAAAAAATCTAATTTTCAAGAATGGACTTAACAATGGCAAAGGTAGAATGACGTACTGTTTAAAAAACTCAAGGCAATGTATAAGTTTTAAAAATTTCTAAACTATAAAAAAATCCCAATTTTTCAATAATATTAAAATTTTGAAAATGGTCAACATTAAAAAAAAAATCAGCAGTTTTTCTTGAAAAATATTGAAAGCATTGAAAAAATATGAGAGCAGTTTTAAAATTTTCTATAAGTTCAAATGAGCATAAATAAGTATTCAAACTATTTATATGTATAAAAATTTGAAAGCTTTTTCTAATAAAAGCTACATTTTTTTTAACTTTCGGTAGGGTAAGTTATAGTAATCGAAAACCAATCTAAAATGAAAATTTTTGCATTTATTTACATTTTAGGGTATTCTGAACATTTTGGCACACCTTAAAAAAAATGGATGTACATATGTATGTGTATATATGCAATTCATATCATGCACGCATGTTTGGATACAATTTTTCGTCCATGATTTAAAGAGCACGGATCAACCGATTTGAACGATTCCCATTTAGAGACGTGCTGATTAGTTTTTGGAAAAAGCAGGTCCGACCGTTTCGAAGTTACGAAGTAAAAAGTGCAAAAAATGGAAATTCAGTTTTTGAAAGAACGGAGCGTCCGATTTGAGTGATTCAAAAAACATTTTACTTGTATAAACGGAATGAAGAAATAGTATTTTTAGCAAGGCAGATCTGACGCATTCGAAGATTCAATAAAAAAAAGTTAAAAAAAAAATGCTGGTTGTCGGTCAACACTGATCATTAGACATATGCACATCAAAATATCAGATATTTTATTTATGAGTACAAATTTTGTTTACATTTCTTTGGGTTCCGTACTAAGTTTTATAATGTTTAAAGTTTACTTATATTGCCTAAACAAATGCCCTCGACATTTTCGACATCATGGATCAGCTGACTCGAATGGGTTTCAAAATTTTCAATGAATTCCAAAACTTTCAATTCCAAACTTTGATTATACCATAATATGGATCTGTTATGCCGCAGAATCGGTCCCTAAATGTGCATACTACACTCTCCCATATTATAGTTATCTACTACGAATGTGTACGAACACTTTCGAGAGATGTTTACTAAATTAGATGAATCGATTAATGAAATTAATTTCGCGTGCTTTATCGTTTAATAATATTCGTGTGTTTATTATCTCGCCATAATGTTATTGACTTAACATTTTGCGACCATTAAATTCACAAAGCTCAACTAATGCCTCATTACGCACGCACGAATGGTTAAGCGATTATTTGCGTACGTTATTTTGACCGTGGAGATTGATCCATTAATACTTTCGGCGAGATACGGAATTATATTGTATTTATTGTTCAATAGTAACTAGTGGTGTTTAACCTTATGGACATAATTGGATTGAAAATTAAAACTTGTGGTGCTTGGCATCGTGCCTCAAGGCAAATTACTAGTACTTTCCGTACCCTTTTTTTAATTTTTTTTTTGCAAATCTTGAAATAATTGATTTTTTCTTAAATTTGCGACTCTTTTAATTACATTCAAAATTCAACACAATTGACAATTTTACTGTAGAATTTTCTAAATAACTAAATGTAGAATGAATGAAAGAAACAACAATATTAGATTACAATTAACTCCAAAGCTTTTTCACTTATGTCACTAATAAAATTGGTTTATACATAACAAACATTGTTATATTTAATCGTTAGGGAGTACCGGGCATTTCAAAATAATCTGCATTGATCACATATGTAGCCATCTCCACACTCTGGAATGTCTGCACTTGTGTCTTTGACGAATATTCTTAGATATTGCAAAAAAAAGTAACTATTCATCCACCCTTTTGGCTGGGCCATACCGATGCTCTCAGCTGGAGCATTCACCATAAGCTTTTAATTCTTTAACTAGGAAATACAAAAAATGGGGGTATGTAATGGCCGTCAGCACTCATACAGAACAAAATTAAATAATTGGAATAAATTACGTAAATTCTCACAAGAAATACTAATATGTTTACTGCCCGGCACTAAGGAACGACTTAGTGTCCGGTTCTAAAGGACAGGCATTTTAGTTCATTTGGTGGCACCTACTAAAATTGGTTAAAAGATTTAATAATATTCTACCTTTTTACGGATAACAATCAAGTACAACTTTTATTTTTGCACACCACTCAAAGGTAAACGCATAAATATGCTAGAATTACTTCACGGTGACGCCGTGATTTCGCGCCTAAAACAGGGAAAGATTGCTCTCGCCGTGGCCGTGTGCGTCACAGGCGAGGCTTGGGGCGTGATCCTGTACCTGTGTGCCCCCCGTGCCCCCCGTGCCCCTTACACTTGTATTTTGAAATAAATAGATTTATACTCGCTTAAATAATACGTGTTAAATAGAGAGTCCGGTGCTTGGTGCCGTCCGGCGTTACGGGACTTCCCCTATATTAAATTTAACATTTTGTAATCATATAATGATCTTGACCGATACGCTTGTATATATACCATATACATATAATATAGGACTCAAACGTATACATATAGGTGCAAGTGGCATTTTGTTTTAAGACAATTAAATGAACTTTCAGATATCAAAGAATAATCTTTGGTAAATGTGCATGCAGTCCAACAATAGAGCTGATATTTGTAGTATCGGAACTAGTATTTTTGGCTCCATAAAGTGCATGAATATATGTGTTCAAATTACAGTTATAAAGTAATTCAACCAACTCAAGACATAAAAATCTTTATTTTAACGTCGCTCGTATCTAATTCGTTCACAAAAGCCGGTAAAGCTTCTAGCCAGATGGAACGGTCACTAACAAGCAATATCGTAGGTTGTTGAATGCTGAAAATATTACAACCTTCGTACTTAACTCGTCTTAACTTTTGTTATGGTTAATAACATCGCCAGTTTTATATGTAATTCTGTTAGCATTATATACTTGGCTAGAAATGTTATCGAGGAATCCTCAATCTAAAACAGCTGGACACTGTGTGTTCTTCTGTTCCTACACAGTACTTAACCAGCTTTATAAAACACTACTCGTTTAATTGAATATAAACAAATGAAAATATATTGTTACGTGATATTCAATTATGCACTGTATGTTCCTTATACGTTTCCTGAAGGAAACTAACGATACAGATCGACACATGACATGCAAAACATTGGTGAAACCAACTTACCTGGGATTTTCTGGTTCGACAGTGTGTAGGATTTCTTCTGAAAAAGAAAAAATAAACATTTAATTTTTGAAATAATGGTGTATATATATTTTAATTACATCACAAATTAATATTTCCTAAAGACAAAACACAGAGTTTCTATGTATTCTTCCGAAGACAAATCCAGTGGGAGTAAACATTTTGAAACTGATTTTTAGTTTGCTCTGCTGAAATATTTTCCATTCGTCTAAGAGACTTCCATTAGTTTTTAATAATTCAGAATTATTTGTACTTTTTAGGTATCAAAAATGCAAATTCGTTAGCTCATGAGTGTACATTCTATTGAATATGAAAATAAATGAATATTTTTCTTGTTCATTTCATGTTTTGCTTTCCAAACTATTATTTACATATTTAAGCAACATATAAATAAATGTAATTAGTTGTAATATTTTTTATTACAGAAAATTGTTTTGTTTCGAAGAAAGAAAAAGTAAAAAGAGATACACAGTTTAACTAGGAATGAAATCATTATGAGATTTAAAGAAAATAATTATTTTTGAACTAAAACTTCTATAGGGTGTAAATCGGCGCGACTAGGGTGTAAATCTGTACAAATGCGTAAATCAGTCCGTTACGCCCGTCATTCGCTCTCGATGACATTATTTCTATACGAGTCGATTGTGATTAGTCGTCGTGTATGTGAAAAGAGATCTGTCGTTGTATTTGTATCGGCATCAACGTTGTATGCGTACCGATATCAACAAGGAAATCGGCATAGATAAATAAACATTTTAAAGTTACATTGTAGTACATAACTTGATTTAATGAAAAATGCCTGAATCAGAAGAATATTTTACCCTGTTCCTTGAAAATAATAAAACAAATTAAACATTTGGGCCGTGTACTAAACGTAAGTTTATTGATTATAAATTATTACATATTATTCGTACTTTCTATAAATCTTTGAAGTTTTTAAAATGGAAAATATTTTTTAGGCAAGACAGATATTACTACAACTGTTCAAAGAATGAGATTACATCGCCAGCGAAAAAATAAAAAAAAAATACAAGCAGTCAATGAATATATATTAATTTTAATTACATGAAGTTCTTCAACAACAATTACATGATGAGTGAAGTTGCAAAAACAATGTTTGTTTAGGCGTTGTTTAACAAAATCCACTGTGTGGACCAATATTATAGAATTCAATAATCAGCAATTACTTCATTTCTCTAATGAAGGTTCATTTCTAAATGCTAATTACAATGACAAACCGATCATGTCATATTTGAAGTATGACTTTATTTACATTATTATTTTTAAATGTTATACATACAATATTTATATTGCTATTATAAATATATAATTTTTAATTTATCATTATATAAATGTGTATAATGGTTGACGCTAATAAATGTGTGCATCACGAGTGTTACCATATTACTAATAAACATTATTCAAAATTGTTATATGATGTATTTATTTTTACTTAAATACCATCTTGTACAGTAGCAAATAAATTTTACTTCAATCGCGTGTGAACCTTACGCGCACTTTTTTTATCAATTTGTAAGTTATATTTATAATAAACAAAGTATGAGCATTTTTCAACAATTCCTAAAAAAAAGGCAAATTAAATATCCAAATTATTTTTAAATAAAATTATTCGCAGAAAAGCGGAAGTTTCTTGCATAGTACTTGACATCATTTACATTTGAAGTTAAATATCCTCTGAAAGTATTTTTATCCATAACGAGCAAAATTCGTAATTTGCTCTACTCAAAGATATAATAATACAACGTCAAGGAAACAAAACAGTCTAAATTAAATTTTAATTATGATAAAGCTTTTAGAAATCAAAATTCGTAACAAAACACTCTTACATGTACTCCTTGGTTCTCCAGAAAACAATAAAACACAAGTAACAAAAAATTCGATTATTGCGTTCAAGTTCAATGTCATAAAGTTAATGGGATTTTGATTGGTCCACGGAGCAAACTCGCAATAGGGTTGGCAGATATTAATCGAAATTAAGAAATATATCGATATAAGCCTATTATATCTATTTTATTTTATTATTTCTACTATTTTAATAGTTGCTGTTTTTCTTTGTTTTTAGTGCTAGCACTTGGAATATTATTTTGTCCTTATAAATATAATTTTCTATCAATTAGATCGTACGCTTCAATAGTGTCATTCAATATTCCATAAATGATACTTTTAATATTTTATCATTTTTAGCACTATTAATCTATAAAATTAATTATAAAATTTGAATATTTTCAGAAAGTTACGTCCATGTGGCAAAAAAGTATTTATTTGAAGTATATAAGTGAGCTTTAGAACTTAATTTAGAATTAAAATTAAAATCTGAATTATTTTCGATTTGCAAAAAAAAATTTTTTTTGAGAAAAAAAAAAGTTGAAAAAAAAAATTTGATTTTTTTTTTACAAAAGCAACTATTTTGTCAAAACAAGCAGAAAGTTTTTTGAGCTATTCAAATAGGATGCTCCGTTCTCTCAAAAACTCGATTTCTATTTTCTGCATTCTTTTCTCCGTATCTCCGAAACGGCTAAACCTGCCTTTGCCAAAAACTAATCAGCACATCTCCCTATCAATAAGAATTAAATGTTTTTTAAACCATTGGAATTGGTTGAAACGTGCGCCCGAAAACGTGGACGAAAAATTGTATCTATACATACATATACACACACCCATTTTTTCTGAGGTATGCCAAAATGTTCAGAAACCTTCAAAACGTGAAGATAAGCAAAAAAATTTCATTTTCGATTTTCGGCCCATTACTATAACTACCCTACGGGAAGTTTATGAAACAGACTATATTTTATATAGTATACAGGGTAGAACGGGGCTTAAAGGTCCACCATCGATATCTTAATATTAAATGAAGTTAAGGATTTTTATAACAGCAATATATGAAAGTAAAGAAAACTACAGGGAGAGGTGTAACCAGCCATCTCCTTGATGTTTTGAGCACTGTTATTTATTTTACGAGACCTTGATATATTTTTAGATATACGATATTATTATTTTTAAGTTAAATTCAAAAGTTTTTTAAATAACTTCTCTAAAAGCTAACTTGTGCGTGGGGTAAAAAAGAACAAATTGAGCACATTTACCCTGGCAAAGATGTAAACACAAAAAATAGTAAACAAAACAGTAAATTGAGTTTTAAACAAAAGCAATTTTACAAGAAATTAGTGATTTGAATAAATTACAGTGTTGTATCTGTAAGAAATGTTATCATGCAATTTATATTTTGCATTGGTTGAATAATGTAGCTGATATTTTGCAGAATCCTTTTAAAATTAAAATATGACACTGGATCTGATTGACCCCTGGCTGTCCCATTTTACCCCGCCTATGGGGTGAAAAAGACCAGATGACAAATTCTTGAAAAAAAAATAAAGTTAGCTGGGCGTTTTACTGAACATATATGCTGACTATATGACTATAGTCAAAGTTGTTTGTATGATATGTGGTTTTGGTTATGATATAATTGGTTTGGTTTTCAGAAGAATTGTTCAAAGTCAAATTTGTGCCCTACCCTACCCTACTTTAACTAAAAAATTTATTCAAAATCGACAGTAAAATTTTTGTATACAAGACAATTGTCAAAGAAATTTATTAATTAAATCGACGAAAAATAACTTTTAGTACTGAGCTGGTTTGATTTTATTTGATTTAGTTTATTTATGGAGATAAATATTTGTTTCAGATAAATTTTAGTGTATGTGCTAGTAGGAATTTTACAAGCTCCTAAAGTCAAGTTACTATGTAATCATTCCATTTTATTCCCATGCATTCCAAACAGGGACTGATATAGATATCGATAAAATTGATACAGATTGATTTATCGATAATCTTTCATCACTAAATGTGTGTAATGTTGCTGTCGTCGCAAGTACTTATATTTCTTCAGGTAGTTACACTATAGCTGTTTGTACGAATCAATAAATCAATACGATAATAAGGCGAAAGAAACGTCCGAAGAACTAAATTCGCAGGTCGTGTGTTCGATGACCAAGTCATAAATGTTGTTAAACAACTAACGATTTGAATAAACTTGAAACGATTTGAATAAACTTGAAACGATTTGTGAAAGAAAAAGTTACCATGGTAATGTAATATTGATAAATTATTAAACAAAAATACTTGCAGAATTGTATGCGATTTAATTTGAAATGTGGCACAGTACTAATTTTGCCTTAAGACAAATTGCATTAACATCTCGAATAAAAAAAATAAACATAGCGAGTCCTTATCATGTTTCTTCGCATGGCTTCTAAATTTTATAAATCGCGGAAAACCGTTTTGAGAAAACGTCGAGTCGATATGACATCTTTCGGCTCGAACACACCAGTTTCTTTCAATTTGGTCTCAAACGATTTAATAGACCTAAAACACCAAGAAAGCATAAAATGAGAAAATCAAATTTTCTGAAAAAAAACAAAAGAAAAATACACGAGTTCGGGATGTTATATGAAAAATATACCTCTTAATTTTTCAGCCTTCTTTATTTAAATTGATTCGATAAATGACAATATTAATTACATACAATTAAATAAAAAAAGAGTGCGCGTAAGGATCACACGCGATTGAAGTAAAACTTTTAATATTGTATGAGTAGGCAATTAAGATAAAAATAAAAAAAAACATCATATTTGAATTTTAAAAATCATCTTTTAATAATCATATAACATCAATAATAATAAGATCTCCTGAGCATCGGCACAGCTGTCCTACTGATATTAAGAGTTTGAATATGATGTGAAGCTTTCTTCCTAATTTTGTTACCTATCTTACCGGGAAATTCAAACCATAAACGTAGAAGTTCATCATTATCGCCACGTTCTATGTACACTAATTTTCCCACACAACCATTAGCTAAGCCATCACTTACATCAATATTAGTTGTTATTATGTAAAATTTATTCAGAACTAAAATTATTTCATACGGCAAAGCCCCGGTATCAATAACCGATTTTTTTGAAACTGCTGACGAATGTATGATTGTTGATCTGTCGCATGGCAACCTACATAAATATCCGTGGCAGTAGATATTATTTTGTCTTCAACGAGATTCAATATAAATTTATTATATTCCATGGCACATTTATTCTCTAAGAAAAGTCTTATTCCATGAGGACATAATACAGCAACCTTCTTTTGTAAAAAAAACGTGATTCAATTAGGGTTTAGCGCTCGACTTACGCATGACATGACGGGAGTGGATACTCGCGACATCAGCGCTTACGGCGTCGTAGTGTTCAACTACACGTTGGCATTTTCGTTGCATTTGTACGGATTTACACCCGTGTCGCGCCTAAAAATTTTTACACCCATATCGCGCCTAAAGAAGTTTTACTTCAATAAAAAAGTTTAAGAAAAGTTTATTCAATTTAATATAAAATTTCTCAAAAATAACCCATTGCATAGTTGTAAAGAATGAATAATATTATCTTAGCATTTATATGATTTGCAACTTTTATACCATATGCTATCAAAATCAGAATTCAATGAATAAAATATGATTTAAATTTATTAACTACGACTGTAATAAAACATAACGACATACCTCGCACAACGTACACCCCACAATGGACGCTGCGCATAACGAATTTTTTTTAGGTCACAAACGTTCCGCACAACGTACTTAACTGTTGTCGTTTGTAGTCAAATATATGTTGCTCAAATTCATTAAAAACTAGTTTCGGAAATTTTTGCACCGCTGTGGAAATATAATTGTTGGTAAAAAAAACTTACACTTAATCATCTCGTTAATGGATTCACTTTCATACCCCGACGGTCTTTGTAAATATTAAAAGTGATGATCAAAACTGAAGAAGACCATAAGCAAAATAAAACATAAAGTCCATAAATATGACCATTTGTAATGCTAAGGAGATCAAGAATTTGCACAATGATAATCTTGCCTATTACTTACGGAAGGTCTTAAAGAAGAGATTAGAAGAAATAACTATCGAGAGTTTCTTTAAAAACTCAGGGCAAAAAAGAAAGCAAAACCACTCTGAAAATAGTTAATTTCGTAAATTAGTAATATTTTTTTAAATGTATTATATGTGAAATTTATCCTTTTTTCTATTGTCATATTTCAAACTGCAGAACAAAGTAATTTTGTTTTCGTGTATTAAAAATGCGATTCGCATAATGACCTTCCTCCCGGAACAAATTAAGGAGCAGGGTATCACTGTATATTAAAAAGTAATTAAATATTTTCTGTTTGATCAATTTTTTGAGTCAATGAAGCACACATTGCAATATTTAAATATATTGCAATTGTAATTGCAAGTCAATATTTCCATTCAGTGATTAAAAATAAAATTTTCCTCTCTCACTGTGAGAATCCGACTAATGAACATCGGAGCCGATGCTGCGAGATTTGTAGACCGTGCGGATGGATATAGATGATGATTATTGGAAAGCTATAGAGAGACGGTTGGGAAAATAGAAAATTAGAAATCTCATCACCATGGGTGTTCGGATCGATTTATGTGACTGTTTTAATAGATGCAAGTGCGAATGTACGAAAGTGCGAATTGCAAAATATGAAACGATATGAATGACCTCAGGTCAATTCATACTCGATGGTCAAGTCAGTTCGAATCGATTCTATCGCTTTCAAATTTCGTCTAAAATAAATACTGCGAAGTTTTATTGGAAAATTTACTTGTTAACTCTACGAAAGTTCCGATAAAAGACTTTAAAAAAATAGAGATTAAATTTGATAAATGATATTATATAAAATATTAATTTATGTTAGGTATTGGACAAACCGTAAGAGCTAAACAAATCAACTTCATACTTATTCCAGAAATAGAAAAAATATATAATTATAAACAAAGAAAGAGTAATATTAATATAAAAAAATCCGTGGCGAAAGTGAGTGAACCTGAGCTTTGAAACGAGGTTCCGAGTTCAAATCCCACGTAGCCTATAACCCTCATATCTGGTACTAGTGATTTCTGGCTGTGATGATCGGAATTTCTGGCTGTGATTTTTATTTTTATTTAAAAATATGGTTTCAAGTAAAGATAACCCTGCAGAAATGCGTGAGACAGATGCAAAAATAATATTTAAAGCCTGTAAAAATAAAAATCAGAGCCAGAAAGGACAAACATCGTGTTGCTCATGAAAATGTCATTATAAAATCAATAAATTGTATTTTATAAAAAAATCTATACACATTACATATATTGTTAATATATTCTGGCCCTCGAGATTCTGGTTCTATAGGTCATCATTTCTAGAAATTTTCACGAAAAAACAATAGCTAGGAAGCAAATTTCGAAAAAGCAAAATTTTCAATGCAGTTGTCTAATAGCAATACGTTTTTATATTTTAAGTTTAAAAGTTTTAAAAACTTACGAAAAAAATCACTTTAAATCATAAAGATCTTAATAACGTATTTTAATTTGAATAATAATTTAAACTATTTAAAATTTAAGTTTGCATTATGGGAGAAACAAATCAAAATTTGATTGCAAGTTTTTTCTAAAAAATACATCTAAATAAATAAAAGAAAAAGTATTAATTAGATTTTTCTCGATCTCAAAAACGACCTCATACAAATTTGCTTAAGTGTAAAAAAAATTAGTATTGAAATCGTATTCAAATTTAATCGAAATGCTATGGTTTCTTACTTGTTAAGCAAATTTTTTTCAAACAACCGATTAAAAATTATGATGTAATATGTAATTATAAAATTATTAAGCTTATTATTTAAAACTGAATGAGAATTTTTTTATATAAAACTATAGAGAAGCAATAGAAGATATAAACTGTTATTAGTATAATAAAAAATAAAAAATAAAAATTATTTATATATTATAGGCAGCAATAAGATCTCTTCTGATGGAGCTGATGTTGGGGCTTTCCTTATAATCTAGTGCTATTATATTATAGGACAACCCAATGGTCGTTCATTCTCTTTATGAAGAAATTATTATCAGATATATTTCCAATAGAGGGGTAACTTGCAATAATGCACCGGATATTATTTGTACTACTACATGATATCAAGCTGGTTAAGACGGGAATAGAGTCAAAACCTCTAACCAATAAGTCACAAGGATCAGAAATTAGGTTAGTTGAAAGAATAACAATTTTCAAAGAATTTAAAGAAAAATTGCTAGAATAATTGAATCCGTTGTTAATATAGTAAATATTTCTAATAAATAAAATTTCTTAACAATTTCTCATCACCATTTGCTAGAAGCTACTAGGATCAGAATTGTTAAATAATATACGAGGTCTGTTCAAAAAGTACCCGGAATTTTCGTTTTTTCAAAAAAATATTTATTTATTCGTCTACATTAATGTGGTCCCCTTCAAAGTAGTCCCCCCCAGATATAATGCACTTATGCCAGCGTTTTTTCCAATTTTCGAAGCACCCTTGATATTCACTTTTTGATATGTCCTTGAGCACTCTCAGCGATTTTCTTCAATCGAGGAAAACCGCCGTCCTTTCATGGGTCTCTTCAACTTTGGGAATAGGAAAAAGTCACACGGAGCCATATCTGGTGAATTTTTGCACTTTGCAACACTTTATTTCATTTTTTACGCAAAATTTAATACAAATTCTTTGACTTTTCAATTCTTCCATTGTAAAAATCGCCGAGCTCAGAAAAACACGTCGAACTTTAGCGACTACCACAGACAAAGTAAACAGTGAATATAGCTGAAAATTTCATCATACTTTAGGGGCATGTATACCAACACAATAAAAAAAAAATTTGACAATCAGACACTCCAGACCCGCGAAATTTAATTATTAGTAATTCCGGGTACTTTTTGAACACACCTCGTATAATTACAAGATTTAACGACGTGACGCTTCGTTCTACAGAAAACAGAACGCATTGATAACTGAAAGCTATTTGCTGCGGAATCATATATTATACAACAGCAAGTAAGAATAATTACATTTTATGGACTTGAACTCAATGAAATTAAATTGTTCGAGGAATAAGTAAATTCACATCGGGTAATTTATAAGCACATTACATGAAGAGTTAATGTAAATAAATAAACTATATAATTGCGTGCTATTTGTAAAAAAAATGAGAAGGGCGTGGGCGGGGCACAAAGGTCCGATTTGACTTTGAACAATTATAATGTGAAAACTAAATCTATTGTATCACCACAAATAGTATATATCAAACAAACAACTATATGACTATGTTTAGTAAAACTCCTAGCTAATTTATAATTGTAAAAATGTGTTTTTTGCTGTTTTTTTTTTCAAAAATTTCCTTTTTACCCCAAAGACGGGTTAAAATAAAATGGCCGGGGTGCAAACGAGCCCTATGTCATATTTTTAATTCTAAAGAAAGTTTTTGTTCTTGAATATTAATAAATTTAAATTTTGTTAACTTCTCATAATTAATAAATATAATTAAGTATAATAATAATAATATTAATATCAAACTATACAAACCAAAAAATAATATAATTAAGAATTATTTAAGGGTCTATAGTCAAATTGCTAAAATTGTACCTATGTTCATGTTAAATGTACCTAAGATTTTTTTTCAGTTCAATTATTTCTTGTTTTGTAAAAATTACCTCGCAGAAGTTATTTGTGTTAAATATAGTACAATCTAATAAACAGCTAATATTCTTTCCACTCGCGAATTGCAAGATTTATATGTATTTTTCACACGGCATCCGAATGGAAAGGATTAAAAAAAAAAAACTCCATAAAACGTATGACTCAATATAATTTTTTTTAATTTATGCGTAATGATGTCATAAAAGTATCATTTATCCTACTCCATAAACCATACCAATTAAAGTAAAGCATCATTTTATCATTGTTTAGCAGGCTGACTGACTAATATTGAAAGACAACATCATAAAATAAAAAAGTATAATGCTAAATATTAGTACTCACTTTGTTCTTCTGGGCGCCGATCATTCCATCCTCGTCGGTCCTCGTCTTCAGTACCGGATCCGAAGACGATTTCGTCCCAAGTTCCATCATCACTTCCATTGTTCTTTTATTTCTATCTTCCTCATCATCAACATCATCATAAAATTCACCTTCTTCGCAATCAACAGTCATTCTAGACTGAGCTCTAAGTCCGTTGTGGATTTTGTCCACGTCGGATAGTATTCCAATTCCACTATCAACCTCCTCACTGCGAGAATCAGTGAGAAGATTTTCAGCTGATGATGGTTGGGTCATTGCATCGTCAGCACTTGATGGATCTAAAAGAAATAGAAGAAATTTGGTTAAAAGTTGTTATCAAAACATACCAGATATATCCATCCATATATACATACTAGGAAATGCAATACCGGTATACCGGTATACCGGTATACGGAATTACCGCTAAACCGCCCGATTTTTTGGCGGTATTTTTACCGGTATTTTCGGTATTTTACATAAGCGCTATTTGATACATAATACACTAAATCTTTAAATTCCATAATCGCATAAACAGCTATATCTTCAAGTGATTCTGTAAGATAAACAAATGTCAAATATTATCACAACTCGTCATTAAACTGAATATTTATTGCTTTGCTAAGGACTTCATATCGTCTTACAATAAATAGAATTGTACTGATAGATTATGATGTTTGTTTCATCTTTTGTAAAAATATAACGATTTTTAAGTGATATTTGCGCCAAAATATTTTATATCATACAGATTACCCCTGCGCAATCTTTATTTTTTTCTAACTTTATACATAATAATTATGATAATTACTAAATATTTTTGCTTCTTATTACAATTATAAAATATTATTTTTCGACAACGTTTCGAAGTTTGAAAATATTATAGAAGCATCACATTGTTTTAAACAACAATACTCAACAATTATAGTAACTTATTATTTATCTCAAAGTATCCGATCTTAAATAATATATTTGTAGAAAAATTATTTTTTTAAAATATTGGAGATTATGCTAATTTAACACATCGGATACAGACAATACAGTTTATTATAATAATGTAATATGATCTTTTATGAGTTTTTGGTCTTTCTTACTCATAAGTTTGTTTTCGTGAAAAGTACTCAATATACTCGATAGTGATAATGAATCAATTAAATTGGATATACTTTTGTTAAATTATTATTTAAAAAAATTAACTTATTGTTTTATTTTATTGTTTTTATTGTTTAGTTGAATATAGTTGTTGTATAGACATTTTTTTTAATATTTGTACTAGTAACTTCAAATTTTGTTTACGTTTGTTTAAGATAATAAAAATACCGGTAATTTACCGGTATTCCGGTTTTAAAATGAAAAATTACCGAAATACCGGTATTGAAATTTTCCATCGGTATTGCATTCCCTAATACATACTACACATACACCTACCCCTGGTAGAGGGGATAGCGGAGTGTATTAATTGAACTAGTTGTGCACTTCTAAAAGTAAAGTCCGCGAAACAACATGTTTAGTAAATAACTAATAAATATTTCTTCTTTCATTATAACTTAGTAACAAATCAGTGTTTGATACAGTCCACAGCTACAAGGATTAAATTATAACCGAACAACCTGAATTATCAAAGGAGAGTTTTAATAAATTTCATAAGTACGTAACATAAAATACAATTATTATTTTGTGGCGGGAATAGCTCACTCAGTAGCGTTCTCGACTCAAACGCTGGAAGGAATTCGGTGCGAATCTCCAGCAATACCAGAATTAAAAATATAAAATATTAAAGTAGATTAAGAATTGTTGATTTGTAGAATACAAGAAAAAATTGTACTAGAAGTAAGAAGGAAAAAAGAAGTTTAGTTTGAAATATGAGTAGAACATATTGAGAAACAAGAAGAAGAATGAAAATTGAATGGAAGATTAGGATATAAAAAAAGATACTGTATATATAATGGATGTATAAGAAATATATATGTGAGAATTGTATAGAATATGATAAAAATAATATGAATAATGTAGGTGGCTAAAAATGCTGTAAAGCGGAGGCCAATAAAATTAAAAAATATATATATTATTATTTCACTTACTTCTTATCCCGTGACCCATTCCAAGCCAACATCTCTTCCGCTGGTAAGCGGACGAAGTAGAAATACCATCCAAAGAGTCACCAGAGCCCAAACATTCGTAACTAAGTTCTTCTTTGGAATTAGCAGCCTCGTCTTCGTTATAAGATGAACAACTTGCGGATGAAGATTTATTGTCATTTTCTTCTTCGATGCCATTTCTGCAAGTGTCATAAAGCGAATATTCAGAAGGCCAAGTCACACTAGAGGTCGCTGGCGACAGAGAATTTGGGGTTGTTTGAGTGTACTGGTCTCGTGGTTCTCTTATTTCCAATGTTTTTGTGAAAGTTGATGATGAAGTCGATGACTGGAAAAAATAGGAATAAATTAGATATGATTTTTTTCTGCAATGATTATCTATTATCCACATATGACATTATAGCAATTAATAATGAGGTAAAAAAATGAAGAACTGGATCAAGTGAATCATAAGACAATGTTGTGGGTTTTCATTAGCGTTTATACAAAAACCGATATTTCAGAAAACCGGTTTTCGAATTTTAATTTTACTAAAAAACCGGTTTTAACCGGTTTTCCAATATTATATAGAAAATAAATTTTTGCTCGAATATTCTGTAATTTATCCGCAAATTTAGTGTAATTGAGAGCAGTATTTGACTGAATTTATTTATTGTTCAATTTTATAGATAGTAAACAAAATTATTTTAATTTTATTTAGTAGAACTAAAAAATAATAGTTTATCTTGATTAAATAACTTTGAAAATAATTATTCGTTATTCATGCATCATTTTCACATATAAGAATGAAAATATTTTTATGACAGTGTAAAGAAAGTTTTCGAATAAATAAAAATAACACATTTTTAAATTAAAAAAAATGCATTAAATTAAAAAAAAAATTAGATACATGTTGATACATACATGTTAATATCAATTTTAGTTTTAAAAATAATTAAGCTAAACCCAGGTATTGTCTGTTCCGTTCCGATCAATTTTAATTAATTAATTTTAAACATTCTAATTGTTTATTTAATAAATATGATTTCAAAAAACTGAGAACGTCTATCTGATTCTGCGACGAAGAAGTCACACTGATTAATATATAGGTACACAACTTTTCTGGGAACCATTGCAGACTGATAAAATATCAAATGCTATTGAACGGATATGATTTCAATAATCAAAACGCTTTCATCTACCTTCTATATTTAGCTATATTGGTCATATTCCATTTATGCAGTGAAAACCGACTTTTTTCACAAAAAAAAAAACGGTTTTCGAATACCATAATTTTCGCCAAATACCGGTTTTTGAAAACCGACAAACCCTAGTTTTCATATTTACAATCTTCTGTCGCGAGTTTGATCTGACAATATCCTCTACAGACTATACAGTTTCTTTTGATGCTTACTGACATCATTTGAGATGGATTAGATTTAAATTTGGAATTTAGAAATAAAATATTTAAAAATAAATTGGAACTAGTGGTGCATGGCATCGTGCCTTAAGGCAAATTGCTGAAACCTCCCCTACCAAAAATTAAATTATTTAAAAAAGTTTTTTTTTTTAATTTGAAAAAAAAATGTTTTTGAGAATTTTAAAATTTTTTATTCGTTTTCACAATTTACGAATGCAGCCATTCCTATCATCGTGCCCTAAAACTTTGAACACATTTGCTCAATGAAATTAAATCACTCTATAGATACGTCATGAAAACTTAGCCTAACTAATGCTTAACCATCTATTTTCTGAAACTGTGTTGATCATTTATATCATTTATTACTCCGCCCTAGCATTCATCATTCACAATCACTTCCATTATTTTCGTGTTCCCGTCTCCTCTACAGAAACTGATCATCTGATTTAGAATCGAGGTTAGTCTTCTGACTTATGACAACCCTGTGTAATCAATTATGATTGCACATTGTGTGCATTACATATGCGTTTACAAGAAACTTAACAATAACAATACTCAAAGGAAGGTGTGATGGCAATTTATCATTAAAGATTTTGCAATTCTCTATATAATGATAGATAGACTTTACATGGTATATGGGTTCAAGATATTGTTAACGTAGGATTTGCTGTAATATATTGCAAACAATGAGGAAATGTAAGATTTAAAACTAAATCTACGATGGCGGAATGGTAAATGACTCATTTGTACTGTTTTGTAACGTTACTTTTTATTATTTTATTTTTATATATACTTCTCAGAATTTTTAGAAATTGTAGTCATTTTTAGGTATTTTCTGACGTTACATTATAATTTTATACTCCGTCCGTTAAGATATTATTTCATATTCATAAATGTGCTTATTGTTAGATTCATGTATAAATAACAGTAACAGAATTTAGCCTCAATTTTTATATAGAATTTTTTATAGAATTTTGATAAACTCATATTGATATTTTTGTAAAGAGTAGAACTTTTTGTTATATTAGAAAATATTGGATAAAGACCATTAATTTACAAATTATAAAGTCAGATTTAGAGCTCAATTGGCACTTTTATCTTTTTACTTGGCACAAAATTTTACTTATTGGTTAGAAATATAATATAAATAACCATAAACATTTATAATATAGGTCGAGAACTATCTCATGTTTTATCATATAAACGAGTTAATTAAAAATTTAGAATAATTATATAGGTATGCTTTATATATTGCTTGTTATAATAAATAGCAAATCGACAATAAAAAAAGTATCAATAATTACTTCAAATTAAAACTAAAATAATGCACCCGACCAAAATCCCAGGAAAGTTCCACTTATTTCTTCGATTTCAAGTAGAATCATACAAATGTGCAAGCAGATCTTATATGAGAACATACCCAAGTGCATATGCAATACATCATTCATTGTACAGATCGTGCTTAGGGATGAGAAACTTAAAATTTCATTTTATATAATAATCGATCGAATAAATCGATTGGATAACCAAACGACAAGATTATATACTGATTCCAATGATCACCAATTTTCTCATAGTGCTTAGAGCTCCTTTATTAGATAAAAGGTTTTTTTACCAACTTTATTTTGAGGTATTTGTGTATATTATCAATGGTAACGTACTATGATCTATTTGCGATACAATGTTCTTTCATTAAGATTCTAGAATTGTTTTTCTTGCTGAAGTCACTAACACATCCCGATTATTCTAAATCGAAGGTAATGGTTACATTATATTTTTGTACTTAAGAAGTAGATCTCATTTTTTTTCCTGTGAGTAAATCAGGAGTAGAAGAAAGAATAATGGATCTTCGGTTTTGCAGCAGCAAGGTTGGTGACTTGAAGTCCTAGGTTGAGTGCAACTCATTTAACAGTAGTGATATCGATTTTCACTTGAATAAAAGAGTCCAATATACATATATTCCCAAATAAAAATAGCCCTTATAAGCATGTTTACGCAAAGAAGTATGTAAAAATCAATATAGTAAAATTTCAATGTAGTAAATTGAAAACATCTTAAAATTCCATGATCGAGTTGCAGTTTAACGCTTACGCTTTAAGAACGCTATGAAATAAAACAACTACTGGTTTTACTTTTCTAATTATGATATACATATTTTTTGTGATATTTTTAATTCGTTGCAGTAATATCTGGACTACCTATTCTCACTAAAAAATGTATTTAGATCTATATTTTCAAGTGAAAACGGATGCCACCACTGCTTGATGTCGGGTTATTGGAGACGCTGAATATGGAACCTTGTAGTTTCAGAACCAAAATTTTCACCACTAAACCACGGGATAAGCTTGCTAGAAATTTTTTTCATTTACACCATCCTTTTGATTGGTGTACGGCCAAAATGTAGTATTACTAAGTAATTGAGAGGTATCATCGTTGGCAACCAAATTGCAGATTTTGCTAAGTAACATTACAACTTTTGCTTTTTGTTCGAAATAACTCATCAGTAGTATGCACAAAGTTTCCTAGCATCAACACCATCATATCATGGAATTTCATCACCTAGATACCACCCTATCTATATGAGTTTCCTCAATTTCGATCTTCTTTTAATATAATATCCAGTGAAGTTGTGAAAGCGATCATTAATCACGTGATTCATTTTTTAAATATTTTTAGACCCTCCTCTCCCTTGGTGATACGTGGTGATATTCAGTTTTACCGCCCCACAAACATCACGTGTATTTTTAGTTACCATATTTTTAGATACAATTTTTGTTTTTTTTTTTGCAAATGTTTGAATTGTTTTTTAAAAATTCATGTAAAAAATAAATGCACGTGATATCTTACTACACGCCTCCCTCCCCCACATGATATTTCGTGATTTTTTGTCAAACCCCCTCTCTCCCAATGTATACCGCCATGTAGTTGGAATTTATTAAAACTCTCTTTCTTAATCTCAGGTTGTTGGGTTTCAGTTTAACCCTAGTAGCTGTGGACTGTATTACACACTGATTTGTTTTGCATTTGTATGTATTTGTTGCAGTTCTTATTACAATCACTGATTTGTCATTAAGTTCTAATTGAAGAAGATTTATTTGTATTTATTATTTATTATACATGTTTCGCGGACTTTTCTTTTAGAAATGTACAATTAGTTCCATCAAAACACTCCACTACCTTATCTACCAGGGGTAGCAACCATCCCGTGTAAAAGCTGAATTCCATGAAGATTGTCACCTTCATGGCCAATATAATAAAACGAAAATACGTCCGAACACCCTAAAAACCTCACGTGATTGCCTCAGTAGTATGGAAAATCTTTTTTTTTTTATTTATTTTTCATACAAACTATACAAAGTACATTCAGCTACATATGTTACAGTTATATATTATTTGACTGCGTGAGAAGGATCGCTATCCTGCGATAGCGCCTTCATGGATGTTATGTTATATTTTGTAGTAAATCATTGCAGATTCTTATTTTGAGACGCTTTAGTGGTAAAGGCTTGAGCAGATCTAACGCTAATACGTTTGGATGACGACTTAGACGAGCTTTATATCTGGTGCAGTAAAGACTAATTTCTTCTTCTATAGTTCGAATTCTGAGATCTTGATGCATCAACCAATTGGGAACGTATTTTGGAGCGTTCACGATTTTTTTTCAAAACTTTATTCTGGAACCTTTGTAGAATAGTTATGTTCGATTTACTGGCCGCACCCCGTAGTTGTAGGCCGTAGGACCATATTGGTTTAATAATTGTCTTTTATATTAGGAGTTTATTTTCTATTGGAAAATCATGGCATGGAATTTCGTCGAGAAACCGAAGTAAATATATATATATATATATATATATATATATATATATATATATATTAACAAAGTCTAATAATCGGGCATAACATCAATAAAAAACATCATGTTTTTTATT